CAAAAGAAAATTTGGATGGTGTCATTGTAGGCATTTCGAACATACTCAGCGATATATTTTTGGATGTCGGTATTGTCTGTAAGAATATAATAACGTTGATTTGGGGCAATTATGTCGTGAAGTGCTGTTTTTACGCCGTCTTTCCAATTTGCCTGGACAAGGGTGACCAAATGTTGATGTTTAGACTTGAATTTCAATGAATACCTGATAGAATGTTTGTCTCCAATTTTTATTATAATTTGGTTAGTGAAGTAATTTATAGGCTCTTCAGAAAATGGGACAGTAGCAACAGGATGTTCAACTGATGAATGTTGGGTAGATTGGCCAGTTTCTTTATTAAAGCATTGATTCACAAATTCGTCAAGATCAAATATTTCATCGTCCGAAGACTCTGAAGGGGGATTAGCAATCACGGATTCAGTTTCATGCATATTAATTTCTATGCGGGATAGGGCATCAGCTACAACATTCTCCTTGCCTTTTTTATATTTTACGTCAAAATTATAATCTTCCAGTTTGAGTCTCCAACGAACTAAACGAGAGTGAGGTTCTTTAATTTTCTCTAACCAAACGATGGGATTATGGTCAGTTTCGACAGTAAATTTAAACACCATACAGATGAGGGCGGAAATGTTTGCACGAATCTAAAATCGCTAAGAGCTCTCTTTCAATGGTCGAATAGTTTCTTTCAGCAGTATTAAGAGTACGAGAGTAGTAAGCAACGGGTTTTCCATCTTGAGATAGAACTGAACCTATGGAAACACCTGAAGCATCTGTGGTAAGAGTGAACGGTTTTGAAAAATCTGGGTATTGGAGTATGGGGGAGTTGCTAATTGCGGATTTGCACTTTTCGAAAGCTTCTATGTACAACGGATTGGTTATGTCAATTTTTCTCCTTTTCGTGTACAACGTGTCATAGGAGCGACTATTTTGGAGAAATTGTGAATGAAGCGTCGGTAGTAGCCGACTAAGCAAGAAAGCTTTGAATTTCTTTTCGTGATTTGGGAATGGGATAATTTTGAACTGCATGGATCTTACTAGGATTGGGCTTTATACCCTCTGGGGTCACTATGTGGCCAAGGAATGCAACTTCTTTGCACAGGAACTCTGACTTGTCAAGCTGTATTTTTAGATTTGTGTCACGGAATTTTTGAAAGACTTGTTTGATGTGTATGAGATGTTCTTGAAGGGACCTAGAAAATATGATGACATCGTCCATGTAAACAAAACATGATTTATAGAGGTGGTCTCGGAGAACTTCATCCATCATCCTTTGGAAGGTCATAGGAGCATTACGGACCCCCATAGGCATCTTCAAATACTCAAAATGTCCATTTGGGACAGTGAAAGCGGTCTTGTCCACAGAATCTGGATGGACCTGTATCTGATGGAAACCTTGGGCTAGGTCAAGAATTGTGAAATAGGTACACCTGCCAAGATTATCCAGAATTTCATCTATCGTAAGAATTGGATATTTCTCTTCCACTGTATTGTCATTGAGCTTCCGATAATCGATTACCATGCGAAACTTTTTCTTTCCGGATGCGTCTGCTTTTTTTGGAACAATCCAGACTGGAAACGGAGAATTTTTTCTTTTTCTTCAGAGTTCAAGTGTTGAGTTCGAATCATACTACTATTGAAAGAGGTACTAGAAGACTGCTTAGGAAGTTCTTCCTCAAATTCTGAGAGATATGTGGCAGAGACAGTTTGAGAAAAATCAATTTCCAAATTTTCTGGCTTAGGAATATCGATATAACCATCTTTAGCATAATGTATAGATTCTGGTAAGATAACCTGACCTTCATGGATGATTTCCGGGACAACTACTTCACCATTGTTGACGGATACAGGAATAGATAACCGATTATTTGTACGATAGATTATTTTAAAAGGAATTTCGATACCTAGTTTACGGACAGAAAATATGTGAGACTCATAGTCAATGTTTGCACCCAATTGATCAAGTTCACCAGTTCCGAGAAGAATATCAAAATCATCATGCCAGTCTGCAATTTTGACTATAAGAGGTGTATGAATACCTATTTCATTTAGTACAGGGTAATATAAATTTCGAGTATACGTTTTCGGAGTTTTTCATGGAGATAAGAGTGAAGGGCTCATAGAATTCATGTTCAGGGTCATAAATTTTAGCAGCTCTTGGGGTAATAACTGTATCTGATCCACCGGAGTCGATCAAAATTTTCAAATTGGAATGGGGTAGGTAGAAATAGGGTAGCTTGGTGTGTTTTGAAAAGTTATTTAATTGGATGGTTCGATATCGGGCGGTTCCTGAATGGCAGGCCCTTGAAAATTTTCGGAATAGGCTTGTTGGTCTTTATATGTGTCATAATATTCGTGATTACAACATTTGTCAGAATATGTGACGGAATTTGGGTCACACTCTACATTATGATGAAAAGTACGACTATTATGAGTGGAGGTGGACATCGGAGTTGGTTTACGACTAGTAGTCTGCGTTACTGACATAGGACTGGGCTTGTATTGATTATTCGGTACATTATTTGGACGAGAAGGACCGAATACTTCTCTGTTAGTAGGAGGATTTTGACGTTGAGGTATGGGCCGATTTATATCACCAAATGTTCTGTTAGGTGTGAACGATTGGAAGCGGGGCTGTTGAAAAAAATGTTGGGTACCATTAGATGGATTCTGTTGAATCGAAGACTGAAAATTGGGTAATGCATTTCGATTACTCGGTTGAGTGATAGCGTGGGCATTACGTTGAATGGGACGTGGTGGTGGCTTTTGATACTCATTGGGGTAGGTAGAGGATTTCAGATACGACATATATTGCTGTTGTTGCTTATGGTTATCTAAAGAAATACATTTCTGAAGAGCTTCGTCTAACGAAGATAAATCGTAATGAGATAGGTGGTTGCAATATGGATTATTTATACCAGTACAGAAGGTTCTAAGTGCTTGATTTCTAAAGAATGAAGCTTTAAACTCAACTGCCTGTGGATTACTTTCATGAAGTGAAACATGCTGAAGAATATCATTTAATGCTAGTGTTACTCGGTGGTGATATTAATGATACGATTCGGATCGTTTTTGGACTGTGGTTGTGAGTTGGGTTAATAAAATTTCCTCGGTGCGATGATCACCATATTTCTGCAATAAAAGTAGCTTTATCTCAGCCCACTGAGTTTGATTGTGAAGATTTAAAAAATCACGAGCCTCGCCTTTTACCTTAGACAATATATTAGCATTTATGATGTAGGTTTGGATAGCATCCGCACCTTGTTGAGAAAAAAAATTACCAAATTATCTACAGAGTTGATAAAAGTAGATAGATTTTCACCCACTTTGTATTCTGGCAAGGTATTACACAGATTATTGATATCCGAATTTGAGAGAACCATGTTTGGGTTTTCTGTAGTAGTTTCTAAGGCAGAGGTACTTAATTGTTCGGTAGAAATATTTTCGAGAGAGGGAGTAGAATATGGCTTAAATCTAGACTTTTCTTTTGAAATTCTTCGAGTACTAGGTGAAATAACAGCTTGTAAAGAATCCTGTGGATACTCGGAACTCATAGGAAAAATGGAATTGACTTACATAAGGGTCAGACGAATCAGAAGGATTTTCATCTCCAGTACGGTCTCCGGTTACCGTATCCGGTTGGATACATAACTCGCGCGTGCGCATGCGCATGTGCATGGGGCTCGTTCTGGTTGGTGCTGGCGCGGGCGTACTACGGGGGGGTGTAGATAGCGTTTGTGGCGTTCGTGGTAGGTGATGCGCGGGTAAGTTTGCGTTGTGTACTTTGGAGGGGCGGGGGTGGGTGGTAACAAATAATGGAAATAATCAAGCTCAACAACTATATATATATGTTATGTAATTTAATAGTCAGTATCGCTTGTTTTTTTTTATTAGGAAGAGGTACATAGTCATACATCCTTCAATGAAAACTATCGAGTTATATTTTTCAACAGAATAGATAGGTAAACACGTCTATGCGTAAGTGATGTGACTCACTTCATGTTTTGCAGTAAATATTTGCATATAGATCGATAAAAGCCGATGAATAATGGGTAATTATAGATGCAATTCTGCGGATTCAGTTGAAATGGAAAAACCTTCGTATTACAAAATTCGCGGAAACGATGCATATAGGATGATTTCAATAGTCAACACGTCATAGGCGTACTACGGGTGTGTAGATAGCGTTTGTGGCGTTCGTGGTAGGTGATGCGCGGGTACGTTTGCGTTGTGAACTTTGGGGTAGGGATATTTTCAACATAATAGATAGGAAAGCACGTCTATGCGTTAAGTGGGTGGCTCATTTCATGTTTGCGGTAAATATTTTCGGGATAGGGTAAGAATAAGCGATACGCTGTAAAGAGTTATCTATCTTTATTTTGAGGTAGTTTATGCATAACCAAAACATTGTACATCTTGTTTTGCTATTCTGGGAAACTTTTTCTTAAATTCTTCCACTGTATACTCTTGATCTCGATACTCTAGTTTTCCTCCATGACCCGACTAGCTGTGCAGTCCATATCTACCGCAATGTAATAAGTTGTCTTTCATCGTCATTATAGGATAATAATGTAAGTGATGTCCGATCACATACCCTATAGTTCGGTTGTCTTCGTTTTTAATCTCTGTACCAAATGGCAAGCCACCTGGCGTGCCATCGTATAGAACGCTGGGTATTCTTGTAGCACGATCTTGTCGTGATGATAGATTCGTATATGTAAAATGTTCCATCTTCTTGAACTGAACAGTGAAGTCGAGAACTTTTATTACTCTTTGATTATTAGTGTGTGACGTCATTATTGTATTAAGGTAAATGTTCACTGTTCAGTGGTTGATTGATGATTGCAAAGATTACATTGTATGTAGATATATATATAGTACTCAGTATCTGAAGATCTTTTCAGACGCTTAATCATTTTGGATGCAAATTTCTCACATTCCTCCAGTCTCTTAATTTTTTGTAACTGAGTACGTTCTTTTTGTTCAGCGTTTGAAGTCTTTTACGTTCCTTGTTTAATTTTCTTGAATTTCGGTGAATTTCTTTTCGCATAGCCCTGTTGACTTTTCGTAGATAACCTCCAATTATGCGCAAGTTCATCGTTGTTCACATGTTTTTTGTGAGTCAGAATAACCGTATCATCTGTAGGACTGCTTTGCTCTTCAATATAATTGTTTACCAACTGTCGTATATCCTTCCCAGCATTACGATTTGCAGGAGCTGTTGACGATACATCAATGGTGGCTGAATTATTACAAATATCATTTCCGATTAAGAATTCATCCATATCAAAACTATCCGCCTACAAAAAAAAAATGTATAGATCAGCTAATGTATATGTTTATATAACCAGGATAATATACGTACTGAATGTACATAATTATGTGTCAATTCCAGATTTTGTGCAGAATTTTTCTTCCATGGTACAACTAGTTGATGCGAACACAGCGTGGCTACGACTGAACATAACTATCTAATAAGGAAGTGAACTAATAGGAATTTGTAACGTATGTCATGTGACTTTCGAAGTATGAGTGTTTTATGATATATGTGTCATATATAAATGATAATCTACACCTATACAATACAGAATAATACTAATCGCACCGCTGCGCTGTTTGAATATGTGTGCTGAAGAATATTCTATAGATTTTAGTGAATCCAATTTCGTATGATAAACGTATCAGTACATTTGAAAAAGGATGGACTGAGTCATTAATCCTGCAGTGCTAGCAGCAGCAGGTTTTTTTTTTTATGTTGGAAGTGAAGATATTTGCCAAGCGTTTTGTTGTGGGATAATAATATACAAATGGAAGGATGACGATTGTCCTATTAAGGATCATCTAAAATTCTCAAAAAATTGTGACTAGGCTAAACGAATGCAGAAGCTATTGAATGGAATGGGAAAGAAGACGGACAAGAAATTTGATATAATGCACCATATGATTTTACTTTCAGCTTCATATTTATTAGTTCATTTTGTAAGTTCGATAACATTAACGATTGAATAAAACAATATAATTACCGTAGACTTTTATTTTGTAAATATATTCAATAGTCACACAATTTGGGTCCTTAATTTGGTACATTGTTACGAATATGAATATTTTCTAAAGCTAACAATCATTTTTTATTTTTGTTCATACATTTTTGAGTTCATGTAATTTCTTAGATAGGCATCTATGGCAGCGGCTGCTGTAGCGTGATTCATCTTGTTGCAAGGATGACTGACAACTATCTTCTCATTAACGCAAGAAGCCACTCGTGAAGTTCAGAACAGTTTCTTAAAGCACACATACATAGTCTCAACCTGTGATGTAGACATCGAGGTTTATTTTTATTGAAGTTCAAGACATCTAGACTGGTCTGGAGTACATCTTCTAAGTTTACGATTTCTGGTTGGAATTCCTCATCACGAAGGGAAGATAACAAAATTAGTTTTTGATGTCCTTTGACGTATACAAATCAACGTCTGATAAATGCGACTTGATTTATATCCTTCAATTGGTGCTGTTCGAAGAATCCAGAGGAATATTTCAAGCCATGATAATTTTTTTCCAACCATCGCCACTTACACTTTACCGTTTGTACTTAAGAAACAAAACGGTGACACTGGTTTAAAAATATAGTGAGTTATCTGGTTACCAATCGAAATCGAGACTTCCTTTGGTAAAAACCAGTTGGAAAGTTGAACCCTGAACATTTACTGCTGCTATTTTCATCGCGTAACCGATTAAGATGATTCTAGTACTAGGCACCACGACTTACTGAGAGCTTCGACTGCTAGTACGTTACATTTAAATTAGTTTGCGAACAATTTCGCTTAGCGGTAAATACTCTATCACAGAATCATGAATTATAATACAGTAAGTTCTAGTATCAGCGGGAAAACCTTCAGCGGATTCAAATTCCAGCTTTACATCACGGTGGACTAGGCCTGAGACATACGACTCTTTTCCCTAAGCTCGCTCACTGCGTTCATCTCTCTTCAGTGAGTCGTTCGTTCGGAGTCGTTCGTTTGAACGACACGGCCGACACGCTTCCCGACCGACCTCGAATGACGAGTGTTTTCGTGTTAATGACTCACGGCTCACTCACTTCTCACATGTTTTGTGCTGTGCTCTGTGCTGCTAGCTGCTACTCTTACCACTTTTGTGATGGTACTCACTCACGGAATGTAACGATATTGTAAAGCATATTATATCATATTATCATATCATGTCTTCAAAAAAAAAAGTGATGTTTGGTCAGCTTTTGAGGAGTTATCGGGTTCTAGAGCAAAATGCAAGTTTTGCTCTCAAATCTTATCATTTAGGGGAGGATGAACATATAATTTGATGAGACATCTTGAAACAAAGCATCCTGGTTCCGTAGACAGTGTATGTAGGAAGGGCGGCCAGAGTTCATCAGTAAGAGATGAAAATCAACTATCAGAAGCCAGTCCATCTAAACCCTCCACCTTTAGTTCCAGTAACCAGCAATCAGGAAACATAACAGCGTTTCATGTAGCAACTAAAACACAACATACTTTGAATATGAATTATTTTTTTTATGAACCTGTGCCAGTGAAAAAGAAAGATGAGATAAACCGGTGTCTGGTCAGAATGATTTCCAAACAATATCTACCATTTCAAATTGTGCAAAGTGAGGATTTTAAGCAGTTTATTGAAGAATTGAACCCTGTCTACTCACTCCCCTGTAGAAAAACTGTATCAAAAGCATTGGTACCTCAATATTATAATAAACAAGAGAGGAGGAGTTCGATAAAATACAGTCAGCGGAATGTGTTTGCTTAACAGCTGATGCATGGACATCAGCATCAAATGAAAGTTATTTGGCCATCACAGCCCACTATTTACATTCTAATAAGATTAACTCAAACTTATTAGAGTGCTATAATTACACTGAGAGGCATACAGCTGTAAATTTATGTGAAGGACTCAAGAGAATTGCACATGAGAAAATAATTGCCATTGTTTCTGATAATGGGGCAAATATAGTAGCAGCTGTGAAGAAAACTGGCTCGAAACCACATTCCTTGTTTTGCACATATAATTAACTTAGTGGTGCAATCATCTTTAGAAAAGATACACAGTTTTAGACAAAAAATAAAAAACCATAGTTGATTTTTTTAGGCGTAGCCCACAAGCTACTGAAAAATTAAAACGAATGGAAATTCAACACGGGCTTCCTGAATTAAAAGTGAAGCAAGATGTGGCTACAAGGTGGAATTCCACATTTGACATGTTCAAGCGCATACTAGAAATAAAACAACCATTGATGTCAGTAATTGCAATACATTACAAGAACCTACCAAATTATCAAACACTGACATGAAAATTTTGGAAATATGTTGTCAGATATTAAAAGTGTTCAAGGAAGTAACAGACGAAATTTCGTCAGAAAAAGAGGTGACTGTTTCAAAAATTATATTGTTTAGCAATTCACTTTCAAATATTGTAGGAAATTTCTGGTGGATAATCCAGAAAATTCCAGAAGAGTGTAAACAGCTGACTGAGGCTCTATTATCGTCTTTACAAAAAAGGTTTAGCAATATAGAATTCAACAAAATGTTTGCTGAAGCAACAATTTTGGATCCACGACTTAAAAAATTTGGATTTGATAGTAAAACAGCTTTCGAATGTGCAAAAAAAAATTTTAATTAGTTATGTCACCAGGAATACGCCATCATCAAGTGAAGTCACCAAGAGAAATGATGAGCAGATTCAAACAGATGGAGTTGAATTACCAAAAAACTACAAAATCAGCTATATGGGAATCTTTTGATTGGGCTATGCTAATGTGGTGTCTAGTGTTAATCCTTTAACAGCTGGAATTATAGAAGTAGAAAAATATCTAGATGAGCCATTATTGCAGAGAGATTGTGACCCATTCATGTGGTGGGAACAAAGGAAACATGTATATCCCAGACTATATGTGCTTATGAAAAGTAGGTTAAGCATAGTAGCTACTTCAGTCCCCAGTGAAAGGATATTTTCTAAAGCTGGTCAAACTCTTACAGAAAAAAGGAGCAGTCGTCAAGGACAAAAAGTTTCCATGTTACTCTTTGGAATTCCCAATTTGTGATGATTATTTTTATACTTCAAATGCATACCAAAGATGTGATTAAGTTTTTGTTTAATATATTTCTACAACTTGTTTATTGAAATATGTAAATTATTTTTTGTGAAAAGTCATATTTTTAGTTTCATTTATTTATTAAAATAATGTTCCTAAGTCATTACTTTCTGTGAATAAGTTTTTATGTTTGGTACATTTATTTTTTGTTTTTTTATCTGTTTGATAGGTATTTTATTGCAAGCATTCAGGCTGTGATTAAGTTTCTGTTTGATGTATGTTTTATTTTGTTTTTTATGAATTGATATTCAAGTTTAATAAAATATGGTTCCTAATTACAGTTTGTTTGTTGTAAATATATTAGGTTGCAGGTATATTTTCAATAGTCCTTATATTTATGTTCATTAAATTTATTTTTCTCTATTTTTTCGTTACTAATTATCAATATGGCAGCTAAAGGGTATAAGTACTTTAAAGATCCTATCCAAATTTTAATATAAATTATCTCTATGACATGGACATGAAAAAGCTCAAAACTAAAAATTTTTAACTTGTTCAAGTCACTGTTAAGTGAAAGATTTAACTTACCTTTTATTAATTTATAAACCGTTAGTAAAACTGAATAAATATTTCACTTACATTTTTTAACACTCCCATTAAATTGACTGACTCTTAACTTACACAAAAATGTATTATTATAAAAATTATAAAACATTCAAAGATTCAAATTTCATTCAAAATTGTCACCATTGACAACTGACATTGTCGAAGAGTCGTTCATTTTGAACGACTCGTTCGCGAACGACACACGACTACGGTGGATGACTTAAATCTTCGCTTCGCTTGGAACAATCAATAACAAATATAGCATGAGTTTTGAATGTAGAATAGTCAAGTAATCCGTGTTTATCGTTATCATTTGAATACGTTTTGGCAAATTGCGAATACATATGATGAGTTTCCATATATTTATTATTTTTAAAATCTAACTTCATATCTTCATGAGGATAATAGTCCGAATTAATCATTAACTTTATAGTATGGTTGTAAGATTTGCGTTATCTAATATGTGCTTATCGCTTTTGCAACATCTTTTCTGGCTGTTTGAAAGGCAACAATAACAAATCTTGGAACTTCTATTGCCGAACTTGTCTTACTGACCATATTTTTTCGTGGCATTATGAGGTAAGGACGGTAATTCATGTATTGACCACTTTCTATAACCCATAAGTATAGAAGTATCATTCTTTATCTTTTTAAGTACATCCAATTTTAGTGCATCATTTAGAAATATGTGTTTAACTTTAAG